CCCGGATTGTTGTTGGGGGCAATATGCTGACTCTCTGTAAACCGCTTAGAGAGGGCTGAAAGGCCTATGAAGCGGTATATAAGTCTACTGCTATAGTTCTAAATTTCTTTCCCCCCCCTTTCTCAGCTGTGGCTCCTTCCCTCCCATCTGATCCCTCCTGAGGCAGCCCCTCCCTGAGGCCCATCACACACACCCCATTGCAAAAAATCTGCTTCTTGGCCCATGGGGGGGGGAAGAGCAATTCCCCCCCCCACAGCCATCCAGGCTGAAGCCGAGCTAATTGGGGTGGAGGAAGGAAAACCTGCCTGATCCTTATGGGCATGCAGAGGAATCTACACTCCGACTCCCATCTCTTCCCCCCCCCCCCAGGCTCGGGAGTGGCTGGGCCCCTGAAGGCCTCGTGCTCTGGAGGAGACGGCAGATGGCAAAGGGAAGACCAAGGCTCCCTGGGAAAAGAAGATGCCCAGGGTGGCTATTCGGGGACCGAGGCGCCCCGGCCATCACGAGGGATCCCTGCCTTCCCCATCAGGGCCAAGGGCGGCACAGGAGAAGCCTCCTCCAATCACCCAGGTGGGACTCTGAGCAGGTTACCTGTTTTATTTTCTGTGCTCTCCAAAGCTGGAAGGCAAAAGAGAGGGTTAAGGTTCAAATACGCAGGCCGAAGGCAACAAGAGAGACCCTTACCCAAAAGGCAGCCTGAGGGGAGGGGTGGCAAGGAGGAGAGCAGGAGGTCAAATTCACCGGAAGGAAGGAACACCCACCTTGTCCCAAAACCGCTGTGGGGGGGGGCAGGGATTGACTAACTCTGCCCTACAACCTGAACCGGAGAGATACTTTCAGTGGGGCCATGTGTGCATCAGATGGTAAGATGGGGCGGGGGCAACTCTGCCCCCCTCTTGGGGAAAGGAAGGGGCTCCTCCTCTTCTAGGCCAATCAAGGCAGAATCAGGCAGGAGAGGCGACCAATGGGCCCTCCTCTCCAGCCCCCTCCTCAAAGGGCCCCTGAATTCAGGGGCTGCTTTCTGACGTCCCTCTGGGGTTTACCCTGTCAACAGCCAAGGGCCTCCAGACAGTTCATCCAAAAGAAGTTTCTGGACTAAGGATCTGGCATCACACCGACATGACGTGCGATCTCAGAGCTCTGAGATCGCAGTTGACACTTTTGGTGCTGGACGGTCCATTTGGACCTAGACCGTCCCGAAGAGATGGTGACAGGGAAGAGTACGTCTTGCTGATCTCAGGGACACCACAAAGTCCCTGATTGATCCAAGAGAATCTCTTCTTGCCGGCGACATAAGCACAGCCCCAAGCTGCTGAAGTCAGGACAGCTCCGCAACGGGAGGAAAGCGGAAAGAGAAAGTGTGTTCATCTAAAAGACTGCCCAAAAAAAGATTGAAGCTAAACTAAACTGGTAAAGAAAAGAAAATAAGCGGCGAAATTAAGCATTATTGGACAGTGTGTTGATTCCCCCCCAATGGATGGAAGTTTTGTAAACATTTTCTACTTTCTAAAGTGAAATATCAGTTTTTCTTCTATTTTTTTTAACCTATGGATTAAATCTTTTTCTTTATTTCTACAATATTGGTTGAGATGGATTTTTTTCTTTTTATTTTGTTTCATTTAAGAATTTTGTTTCTTCTAAACCTGAATCATAAATAAGATATAAAAGGAATATAA